TCAGTTGAATGTAGGATCATGTTGCTATTATTAAAAGCGATAAATGCACGATCACAATAAGTTTGGTTACAAAGCAAGACTTATTAACACAACCGGCATATGTAATTATGCAAGGCATCAGTTAAAAGGGAGTTGAATATTTATAGCCAAGTATTGTCCAACCTGAGTCAATTAACAAGGTAAACTTCAATTACGCTTATGAAAATTTGGATTATAACTATCCAAATAATCAATTTTGATATTCCTAGCTTGGCTATAAATTATAAAATATAGGATGAATCCGGATATAACGAAAAGAGAAGAATATTATTGGATTAGACATTTTTAGTGAAAATGTATCAAAGTATTATCCTGGCAAAGAACATTTACAAAATATGGTAAATTGAGATAGTGCCCAAAGAACAAAAACACCAAAAAATGTAAAATTAAAACACGCTGAATTATTAGAATTCAGAGTCTTATCAAAGGAAAAGACATATTTAACAAATTATAATTCAACTTTATATATAGGCCTATATATTATATGATGTATAAGCAACTTTTACAAAAACGTGATTTTTTTTTTAAAAATGACTTGTCATGAATTGATATAATAAAAAGCTAGATCAATTTTGAGTGATATATTGTCACTTTCAATCAGAGGTCAACATGCAAAAGTAGAAAGTTTGATCCTAATGATGGGTAAATGCAAATTAACCAACTTCAGAAAGGAAATTTGTGATAAATAAGGACGGGCATCTAAAATCTGAATGAGATTTCAAGATACACGAATAGATAGTGGGAATGAAGATTTTGTTAGAGGGTGATTCTAATTAAAACCACAACAATTCTAAATGCCCATTTGAAATTAACCTTAAAATTGCTACCATAAATATAAATTTATCCTTCTTCATTCTTACCCATACACTCATTAATCACACATAGTATCGCAGGATCTAAAGAGGATGAAGTTAAGTAGAATTTTTTAGGTTAAAAATTACAAGAATATCATTTATCTACCTATACAGAACAAGTTTCAAATACATTTATTAGTTTTTTAAAAATAAAACGTATTTTACACTTACTCCGTGCTTTGATAATAAAATCATTGGGAAGACTTTCACATTTCTAGCACATTAAATAAATAAAATAAACAAGCAAGTTATGCACGGAAGATCAATGATTAACTTGCTTTTGAATAATACAACAATCTACTCTTGTTGTAAATTGTATAATTATTAATAATAGTTTGTAAAAAATTGTTAGATCAAAAAAAAAGCAATCTATTATCCATCAATTATACATAAATGGCAGTTAATATTACAAATTTTAGTAAAGACATGCAGTTGTAAACGCTTCGAATCTAAAATGAATTGACATTAAAACAATTTGGCAGTTAAGAAAAGTATGTTAATAATAAACTATTTTGTAAAGTTGTAAATTGAGCACCTACTATTAACTTCCATGAATACATTAGTTTAATGTGTATGTTTTAGGAGTGCAGATTTCATATTAAACTCAAGCGTCTCGAATAATAGATGAACTACATTTAGTACAATTATTCAGCAATAGATATCAGAGGATAGTCATTGATGAAAAAATACAAAAAATCCATAAAAAAATAAAAATTCTATTTGGACACAATCACAATATGTCAAGAGAAAATGTAAAAGATTGGCAAATTAAGTATTCTATTTTCATTACCTTTTGCAAAGACTTTACAAGCATTGCTAGAACGTGGAAATAAACTGTTGTTAATACTATTTAAAATGAATTGTAANAAGATATAATAAGACCTATCCACTCAATTTTGATTCTTATAATAAATTTATATAATAGAAGTTTCAAAAATAGACAACAGCCATTCATCTCCAGTTGTGAGCATCCTATATTTGTTAGAAACTAACAATAGTGTCTACATAGCTAGCTTTAAATCAGTTGAATGTAGGATCATGTTGCTATTATTAAAAGCGATAAATGCACGATCACAATAAGTTTGGTTACAAAGCAAGACTTATTAACACAACCGGCATATGTAATTATGCAAGGCATCAGTTAAAAGGGAGTTGAATATTTATAGCCAAGTATTGTCCAACCTGAGTCAATTAACAAGGTAAACTTCAATTACGCTTATGAAAATTTGGATTATAACTATCCAAATAATCAATTTTGATATTCCTAGCTTGGCTATAAATTATAAAATATAGGATGAATCCGGATATAACGAAAAGAGAAGAATATTATTGGATTAGACATTTTTAGTGAAAATGTATCAAAGTATTATCCTGGCAAAGAACATTTACAAAATATGGTAAATTGAGATAGTGCCCAAAGAACAAAAACACCAAAAAATGTAAAATTAAAACACGCTGAATTATTAGAATTCAGAGTCTTATCAAAGGAAAAGACATATTTAACAAATTATAATTCAACTTTATATATAGGCCTATATATTATATGATGTATAAGCAACTTTTACAAAAACGTGATTTTTTTTTTAAAAATGACTTGTCATGAATTGATATAATAAAAAGCTAGATCAATTTTGAGTGATATATTGTCACTTTCAATCAGAGGTCAACATGCAAAAGTAGAAAGTTTGATCCTAATGATGGGTAAATGCAAATTAACCAACTTCAGAAAGGAAATTTGTGATAAATAAGGACGGGCATCTAAAATCTGAATGAGATTTCAAGATACACGAATAGATAGTGGGAATGAAGATTTTGTTAGAGGGTGATTCTAATTAAAACCACAACAATTCTAAATGCCCATTTGAAATTAACCTTAAAATTGCTACCATAAATATAAATTTATCCTTCTTCATTCTTACCCATACACTCATTAATCACACATAGTATCGCAGGATCTAAAGAGGATGAAGTTAAGTAGAATTTTTTAGGTTAAAAATTACAAGAATATCATTTATCTACCTATACAGAACAAGTTTCAAATACATTTATTAGTTTTTTAAAAATAAAACGTATTTTACACTTACTCCGTGCTTTGATAATAAAATCATTGGGAAGACTTTCACATTTCTAGCACATTAAATAAATAAAATAAACAAGCAAGTTATGCACGGAAGATCAATGATTAACTTGCTTTTGAATAATACAACAATCTACTCTTGTTGTAAATTGTATAATTATTAATAATAGTTTGTAAAAAATTGTTAGATCAAAAAAAAAGCAATCTATTATCCATCAATTATACATAAATGGCAGTTAATATTACAAATTTTAGTAAAGACATGCAGTTGTAAAGTCTTCTAATCTAAAATGAATTGACATTAAAACAATTTGACAGTTAAGAAAAAGTATGTTAATAATAAACTATTTTGTGGAGTTGTAAATTGAGCACCTACTATTAACTCCCATGAATACATTAGTTTAATGTGTATTTTTTAGGAGTGCAGATTTCATATTAAACTCGAGCGTCTCGATTAATAGATGAACTACATTTAGTACAATTATTCAGCAATAGATATCAGAAGATAGTCATTGATGAAAAAATACAAAAAATCCATAAAAAAATAAAAATTCTATTTGGACACAATCACAATATGTCAAGAGAAAATGTAAAAGATTGGCAAATTAAGTATTCTATTTTCATTACCTTTTGCAAAGACTTTACAAGCATTGCTAGAACGTGGAAATAAACTGTTGTTAATACTATTTAAAATGAATTGTAATTTAATTCAACATATAAAATTTGTATTGTTCCTTCTTTTTGAATTTCACAATTAGAATAAAAATCTTGGAAGAATTAATTAGGAAATGTGAAAAATTACTTTAAAGTAATTTCATATTCTGAAAATAGAATCTAATGATAATATTACTTTCAATTTTATTGAACTATGAGGAATAGCAAATAGAAAAATTAATTATTATTATATGTACTTGATTATAATATCTAAATATTACGTTATTATATAGAAGTAAAAATAAACATTAACAATTAATAATGTCAGCCTCTAAGAATTATTCTCAAATTATAATTCATCTTGAAGGCTTTCATTTTTTAAGAACTTCAATTAGGTTTCTTCAGCTATCATTTATTATTATTTTAAGTTATATGTGATATTTAAGTTGATGAAAATTAGCAAGAATACAGTAAGGGATAAACATTAACCAAAAAACAATATTAATAGAATTTTATTGTCTCAATCACAAAATCATGTTATTTGTGACGTGAGAAATTTAAAATACCTTGGAAAGAATATTAATTATTAACTCCAAATTAAATTATATATTCCCTATGTCAAATAGCCTTTATCCTAGTTAGATATTTCAATCTATTGGTAAATCTAATATAAAATCAATCAATTTTTGTATTACGAGTGCCTTCATATAATAGTTATTAAGCTTCACTGAGAGTGGAAAAATTTAGATCTAAAAGCTATGAAGAAATATTTGATTTAAATAAAATTTCTTTTCGTTTCAACCGCCAAATAGATATTTCATATTATTAAATAATTTGTATTTAAATAGTGAACTGATGTATTTAAAAAAGAACTAAATAAACTCTGAAAGATAATTAATTTTAAAATATTTCTTTCATTCTACCTCACAACTTTATGACTGTTTCTATTCAATTTATAAAACCCAAAAATTAAAATAATGTAAAATTCTTAAACCATTTTACTTTTGAGCATTGATGAGAATATTTCAATAGGTTCCATCGTTATTATGATCAACTAGCTAAAAGACAAATCTTATTAAAAGAAGGATAAACAAAAGCGAGTTGTATAATATTTCAATATTACCTATTTAAGATTTGCAGAATTGAAATTAAATTATAAAAAAATAAATTAAACAATGAAAGTTATACCATTATTTAAGTTATAGATCTTTTAGTATACTTCTGTTTTATATAATAACAAACAATTAAAATAAATATTATTAATAAACTTTGATATAATTTCATTTTTTCATTTTACTCATGTAAATAATGGGCTTTTAAAACTAATGAATTTCTTCTACATCTCTAAATAATTTTTAATAACAATCCTTTACAGATCAAAATTAATTCTATAATTATGCCTTAGGATAGTATAATTGCTTGAACCCATCCCAATATAATTTTATTCTCTTAATTAAAATATTCATTAAATTCCTAAATGTTTAAGAATGAACTAAGCATAAAAGTTAAAATAACATTATTGTTTTATTAAATTATACTGATATCTCCACTACCATCAACACGACATATTACTTCTAACTAAAGGTACAACGATAGTTATAAACGAATATCGTTTATATTAAGCTTGTTAAGAGGAGTAATCCTAATTAAAGTATTTGCGAATTTTAAACATAAATCAAGAATATTAAAAAGAAAAATTATCTACCAAAACTTATTTTTTAGAATCTTTGATTTTTGGTTGATTGTTAATTGCTATTGAAAAAACTTAGTAATATATTAAAATAAAGGAGAAGTATTATGCTTAATATAACGAGTTGTACAATATCTAAGTAACTTTTGGTTTAGATGTTTCGTGTGTATAATAGTGTTTTAAATATCATATCCCATCCATTGAGGACTAAAGCTTTTTACAATCCTTCAAAAGACATAAATTTCTCCAATTTAAGTAAGTCTAAGCAAATTTTATAAAAATATTAACTAATTTTCAAAATAACTTTTTGATTTATATATAATGATAATGATGACATATCGTAAAAGTACCTAGAACAAAAAATCGAACTATACAACACCCTTTTAACCCATCTAAACAAAAAAATTAGCAATAACAATATTAAGCTTTAAAAGATTTGGCATTAAATGTTGATGATCAAGCTTGAGTTTTATTTGTAAACATTAAATTTCCCAACAGAATAATCCTAATCTGACTCAATATTTATAAACTGTAACAATTGTGGAAAATGCATAAAATCTAATAGAGGTTGAACAGTTAATAAGTCATTTATGGAAAAATAAATATCTAGATTTTCAGGAAATTATAAATTGATATATCTTAAGTATTGCTAAAATTATAGGATTGCCAAAATCTCTACAAATAAATCCCCACTTCCTAATAAAAGACTGATAATAATAATTCCTGATAAACTATAAATCAAATATTTGTTAAGACGTTTCAAGCTTTAAGAATAATCCTTCTGTGTTTCGTCAAGATAATTTGGATATTACAATGTTATTTATTTTTCAAATACATCCAAAATAGCATTATCTATATTAGCAACCTTCTGACTTACTAAAATTTTCAAGAGTGGTCTAAATTTTAGTAATTATTAAACTTCTATCTCTAAAATATATTCTCCAAAACTTAAATATGATCCAAAATCCTAAACTATATATAAGCTGCTATTCCAGTTCTTCTTATTTATATCTTATAATTCAAAAATTAAAGTTTTTGATAGGGGTTAAATTGTGAATATTTTTACTTACTAGTTAAATTAGATGCTTATATATTATTTATTTTAAGTCATATTGAGGTAATTAATAACTAAGCTTGGAGCTTTGACAAATGTGCATTAGCTAGGAGAANTAATAAACTTTGATATAATTTCATTTTTTCATTTTACTCATGTAAATAATGGGCTTTTAAAACTAATGAATTTCTTCTACATCTCTAAATAATTTTTAATAACAATCCTTTACAGATCAAAATTAATTCTATAATTATGCCTTAGGATAGTATAATTGCTTGAACCCATCCCAATATAATTTTATTCTCTTAATTAAAATATTCATTAAATTCCTAAATGTTTAAGAATGAACTAAGCATAAAAGTTAAAATAACATTATTGTTTTATTAAATTATACTGATATCTCCACTACCATCAACACGACATATTACTTCTAACTAAAGGTACAACGATAGTTATAAACGAATATCGTTTATATTAAGCTTGTTAAGAGGAGTAATCCTAATTAAAGTATTTGCGAATTTTAAACATAAATCAAGAATATTAAAAAGAAAAATTATCTACCAAAACTTATTTTTTAGAATCTTTGATTTTTGGTTGATTGTTAATTGCTATTGAAAAAACTTAGTAATATATTAAAATAAAGGAGAAGTATTATGCTTAATATAACGAGTTGTACAATATCTAAGTAACTTTTGGTTTAGATGTTTCGTGTGTATAATAGTGTTTTAAATATCATATCCCATCCATTGAGGACTAAAGCTTTTTACAATCCTTCAAAAGACATAAATTTCTCCAATTTAAGTAAGTCTAAGCAAATTTTATAAAAATATTAACTAATTTTCAAAATAACTTTTTGATTTATATATAATGATAATGATGACATATCGTAAAAGTACCTAGAACAAAAAATCGAACTATACAACACCCTTTTAACCCATCTAAACAAAAAAATTAGCAATAACAATATTAAGCTTTAAAAGATTTGGCATTAAATGTTGATGATCAAGCTTGAGTTTTATTTGTAAACATTAAATTTCCCAACAGAATAATCCTAATCTGACTCAATATTTATAAACTGTAACAATTGTGGAAAATGCATAAAATCTAATAGAGGTTGAACAGTTAATAAGTCATTTATGGAAAAATAAATATCTAGATTTTCAGGAAATTATAAATTGATATATCTTAAGTATTGCTAAAATTATAGGATTGCCAAAATCTCTACAAATAAATCCCCACTTCCTAATAAAAGACTGATAATAATAATTCCTGATAAACTATAAATCAAATATTTGTTAAGACGTTTCAAGCTTTAAGAATAATCCTTCTGTGTTTCGTCAAGATAATTTGGATATTACAATGTTATTTATTTTTCAAATACATCCAAAATAGCATTATCTATATTAGCAACCTTCTGACTTACTGAAATTTTCAAGAGTGGTCTAAATTTTAGTAATTATTAAACTTCTATTTCTAAAATATATTCTCCAAAACTTAAATATGATCCAAAATCCTAAACTATATATAAGCTGCTATTCCAGTTCTTCTTATTTATATCTTATAATTCAAAAATTAAAGTTTTTGATAGGGGTTAAATTGTGAATATTTTTACTTACTAGTTAAATTAGATGCTTATATATTATTTATTTTAAGTCATATTGAGGTAATTAATAACTAAGCTTGGAGCTTTGACAAATGTGCATTAGCTAGGAGAATCTTTAGTAATTGTGATGCAAACCCAATTTTATTCAATTAAACAATCCTTGCATCCATCAGCTGCATAATAATTACCATCATCGCAATCCTCTTCTTCCTAAACCAATCCATCTCCACAATTTAATTATTATTTGCATTTATTTGAAATTAGTAATTAGTATTGATCATTGCACTCTAAGCAAGTACCCTGAAAACAATCATAACAATTTTCTGGGCAAGAATACTTACATTGAAAGCAACCATCGAATTCTATAGTATTACCATCATCGCAATCCTCTTCTTTTGTTACAAAATAATCACCGCAAACAGAGTGACAATTATTATTAACAAACTCGTATCCTTCTCCACATTTTAAAATGCATTTTCCTTGATCACATATATTGCAATCTTCAATGCATTGAAAATTGCATTAATAACAACCATCATACGGTTCAAAATTTCCATCATCACAATCCTCATATTATTAGAGAACTAATTTATCTCCACAATAAGGAAAACATGCATTTTAAACAAATTTAAAAATAGTTTGTTTTACAATTAGCAATTGAAATAAATTTACAATCATAGCAACCATCCCATACACCATTAACAGTCAGTTCACATTATTCAACTGAATATGGGATCAAATTGCCATCACCACACAAAGGATCACAATTAAAATTGGCGTTAATAACAAATCCGTCTATACATTATAAACAAATTCCAAATTAACAAATTTAACAATTTTCAATACAAGAATATTTGCATTGATAGCAAGATTGATTAGATATTAGACCATTGCATTATTCTTAACCTTGAATGATTCCATCTCCACAAATTGGATGACAATTTTCTTGAAATTCATCTAAGATCCATCCTTCTTGACAAATCAAACATTTATCATCTATTTATTCTAAACAACCTTCATTTAAATTCTAAAACATTTTTTCTGGCTAAGTATAAAATACTTCAAAATCTCTTATATATCTCCAAAAGAAACCATTTTTAGTAATACTCAGTTATAATATAGGATCAGGATGATTTTTGATTAATATTTCTATTTGATATCTATTGCTAATTGCTGTTTTACCATATATATAGTCTACAACTAGGCCGTGATTTGGCAAAACAAAAAACCTTATTAAAACATCCTAATGAGGAGGTAGCTAAGTTTAATATGTAATTTTATTAAATTACAAAAATTAGCAGTTTCTACATTCAAAATAAGACTTTTAATCTTATTAAAAAGTCCATCCATCGGAATTTGTGACGTTTTTCTAATTAAATGAATATTAATGCAGTTTCCATTATTAACAAATTGCATGATAATTGTCTATGCATCCAGAGCATTCTTACTTACAATTTATGATACTTAATTTCAATGATATTAATCCTCCAAAATGCTAATAAATTTAAATCCAAATAGTTCTTCTATTATGTTAACGAGTAATAGAAAGAGTACACAAATATTCAGGTTATGCACTGTTAGGTATCTAACTTTAAGGTGAAATTGCTAACTCATAACTTTGTGATTAAGAGTCTATATTAACAGAAGGTTGATAATCTTTATTAATACTTTTATTATAATGAATAATAAATACAATAAAAATTGAGCATCCACTATAATATGAGAATGAGGATCTAGATCTAAAAAGATCCTGCTGTAATAAAAGATATCTATTTTATTATAATAGTACAACCATTCATTTTAGGAGATCCAAAATATTGAATGCCTTCATAAGTACTGAAATTATAAGAACTCTAATATTCCCATCCTAATTTAAAATATAAATTATAAGAAATTACCCTCTAAAATTTTAGAAGTAGCATTAAACTCATAAATCATAGTTTTTTGATGAGTTGTAAAGATTAAAATAATAAGCAATATCATTATTAATTAATGAAATTATTAACATTTTGTATTTTAATAAAAATCACAATAAAGCACATAATTTAAGATTAAAATCAGTTTAAATATTTTAACAGATTTCATTTGTTTATCTGATAGATTTTATTATCCATATTATTAGTTTTCAAATATTACTTTATTTGTAAATGAATCTTTGTCATCATATGCCAGTTTCAATTGAAATTCTTTAAAAAGACTCTTCGAAAGTTACTCACTTATAAATTCTATTGAAAAATAACCTTTTGTTAATTTTATTTGACGATTTTTAACTACATAAAATTAAGATTTGGAATCATATCCTCCTCAATCAATCAATTATAGCGTTGTAGGAAATGATTAAAATTACGTTAGTATTTTTAACAATTTATTTAACTTTTTGAGAAATAAACTTTGAAGATGAAGGTTTATTTCGATATGATTGTTAATACTAACTCAAACCATATAAGTAGTGCCGCCTTTATTGATCTTAAATGATTTCATTAATGTGAATAGCCTATCAATCTTTATCTTTGGATATTTCATCTAAAATGAATTTTACAAAAAGAAACAGGTTTCTAAATGATAAATATTAATTATTTCTCAAAAAATGATACTTATAATAAGTAACTTCCCAATAAATAATTCTGTTAAATCTATTGAGATAAGCTTAATTTAAACTAACTCTTTTTTGATGGAAAATCCCCTTTTTTATTGCCTTAAATATTCAAGACAAAAATACTTCAGATTATCAATTACAAACTTGCGATTTAGTTAAGATTTTATGAAATTCATAAAAACTTGCGATTTAGTTTAGATTTTATGAAATTCATAAACATAAGGGAAATTGAAAATATTCCCATAAAAATTCTTGAATATATATTGATCAAATTATCATACTAGCTAAAGTTTCTCAAATCAAATATTTATTTTTCAATTTTCGAACTTGATTTAATTGCCTGAATGATAAAACTCTAATGGATGTTTAATTATCACTGGTTGAAGGAATTACATTTAATTAAGGGTAATTGTAATGGAGAAATTGAAATAAATTAAATGTTTTACTGCATAGTTTATTTTCTAACAAACATCAAAGACTATTAGGTAAATTAAAATTGTCTATCTTGATTAAAGTTTTGGTTCTTTCTGCTAATTATTAAATTAGTTTGTCAATCACCTAAAATTTTTCTCTTTATATTTGAATTTTCCTCCTTTCCAACTCCTGATTAAGGGCTCTGAAATGTCAACTTTATTTTAAGAATTAAATGATTCCCTAAAAGTAGAATGGATGTGATAATTTTGAAGAATTCAGCTAACATTGATTTGAGCCAGAGTAATTTTTAAAAGAAGAATTTTGGATTAATGGAATCAAAAATGTTGATATTTAACTGCATAAATGTAAGCTTTTTTTAGTTTTAGATTGAGAATTAGGTTTCTGGTTTAATTTTTTTTATTTATTTATTTATTTATTTTTATTTAACACAACTAATTATCAAAATCAGATTGTAGTTAATATCGAGACACCTGGGGTTAATAATGCTGGGAGGTTTAGAGGGTGTCTAACTCTAGATCCCAGTGGAGTTCTTTAGGAACTGCACTATATATTTTAAATTAATTTGTAATTGTAATGTGATACTCCTTAGTGCGTCATCGAGATTTATGTTATTAATCGATGATTTTAGTAGAAAGTTCTGGAATTAGTATTTGTTCCGGAGGCATAGATAGCACTAGAGATAATAT